CTGAGTTTGGGATGGTGATAAACCACTGAATGACCTACAATTTTTTTTTTTTTTCTTTAACAAACCAATTTCTGCCCTGGCTGGCAAAATCTGCTCTGCTCAAGATATTGCCCTTTTGCATATCACCCAGATAGGTAGTCATGGTATTCCAGCCTACGTTCAGTGCTTCTCCAAGAAGCTTCCTTTTCCCATTTTTCAATCTCAAAGCCCTGTCCACAGCTTCACCATCAATAATCTCCAACAACATGCAGCAATAACCAAAATGAGTCAAGCAAAAATCTAGGTTAGATATGATTTTTTTGTCTTTTTGAGACAGGGTCTCCCTGTAGCCCCAGCTGGCCTGGAACTTGCTATGTAGACCAGGCTGGCCTTGAACTCACAGAGATCCTGCTTCTGCCTCCTAAGTGCTGGGACTAAAGGTGTGCGCCAGCACACCCGGCTTAGATATGATTTTTTTTAAATCTAAAGTAGTAAAACTGAGGAAGAAGAGGCAAAAACAGATTCAGGAGGTAAAATCAATAAAGGTATACTGGTCAGTTGGATATTGATAGGAAGATACCAGAAATCCAAAAGTAACACAAATTTCTGAGGATAGCACCTGGGTTGGCGTCAACAGAACATTAAGGAGGGAAAATGATCCTTTCAATTCAAGACAAATGATTGAAGAGCCTGGAAGAAATTTTGGGTGGTTAGTTACATGATCTAAAACCTGTAAGATGGTGGCAAATTGGTATATACAGTGCTTGGAATTATCAGCCCACAAAAATTAACTGAAGTTGTAGACTAACACCACCCAAGAGATACAAAGTCTGCACTTCTAATAAACAGAAAGTATTATCTTTCTAACCACTATGATTAAGACAGGACTTAGTCATAAGGAGCTTAATAAAATACAGCTCCATTTTGTTTTTGTTTTTAAGCATTTATTGATTTTTAGATGTGCAAGGAAAAATGTCAAGCAGAGATAGAGAACTACACGAGAAATTTAAATTCACTCTGAAGTGAAAAAATTACAGAAAAAAATGGTGAATAAGGATTTAGTTGAGAAACTGGAGTTTTAAGTTCAAGTGTGGCCTAAATAATTTTGATTACATAATCAAATCAGAGTATTGTTAGTCTCTTTTTGAGCCATGGTCTCAAGTACATTATCTAGGCTGGTCTTAAACTTGTGGGCTCAAGGAATTCACCAGCCTCAGCCTCCCTAAATACTAGTACTACAGGTATACGTGCATGCCTAGGGGACTGAATCCAGGTCCCACACATGCTAGTTAAGTGTTCCACTGAGCAACTTGAGCCCAGCCATCTTTAGAGCTTTTGTGGTTTTAGAACACTTAATTTTCAACATAGTATTTAAGCCCAAATTTTTTCATAAGAAACCTTTAAAATGCTTAAAGAACCCAGAGAACTAGCAGAGGGAAGCCAATGTGCTATGAAAGTTGGGAACACAAAGACAAACAGCTACCAAAGTGAAAAGTGCTAGATAACTGTCATACTGTACCATCCATACTCAGTGTTACAGTTCTAAGACTCTGCTTCTAAACCTGGCATGGCAGTGCACACTTGTCATCCCACAACTTGGGAAGCTACCGCAGGAGGACAATGGGTTAGAAGATAGGCTTCACAGTGAGACAGTCTCAACAACAAACCTTAAACCAACCACTGTTCATCTGCTGCTTTTACAATGCTATGACCTCACAGAAGCAACTTCAGGGAAGACTTATTCTGACCTCCAAGTTCATGGACTACCGTGACAGGAAGGCATGATGGCAAAAGTTAGGTCAATCTTTCGATTCCCCTATGGGCCACAATTGTTTGCTGGGCGTGGTGGCACACAACTTTAATCCCAGAACTCGGGAGGCAGAGGCCAGCCTGGTCTCCATAGTGAATCCAGGCCAGCTAGGGCTATGGGGAGACCGTGTCAAAAAAAAACAAAACAAAAAAACAAAACAAAACAAAAAGTAGGTCAATCTGTGTTGGCAAGAGAGAGGCACAAGAGAGTGTGGCAAGGGCACCTCACACGCTCCTCACCTGCTGGGTGATTAGGAAGCAGAGAGCCTGGGCCACAACTAGGGCTAGACCACCTACCCTTCAAAGGCTTACCCCAATGACCTACTTGCCAGTTGTGACTCCTGCCCCAAAGATTCTACAGCCTCCCAAACAATGCCACCAGTTGGGACCAAGTGTCCAAACACACAAGCCCATGAGGAAGTACCCTAACTTCATGTATCATTTCATAATGTTGTGTATGCAAGGAGGTAGTCAAGAAAAAATAAGATAAATTAAGTCTAATGAATGAATTTTATCCCCTTCCATTAAACACTGTCTGGTTTGGGTTGTGTTTGAGACAGGGTTTTGTGTAGCCCAGAATGGATTGATACTCTGAATTCTCTCGACTCTACTTCCTGTATGCTAGTATTCGAAGCATGTATCACCATGTCTGGCTTTTTAAAATGGGATTCCCCCTGTGCTGGAAAATGAGCCCACAAGTACTAGACTGGTGCTCCAAGACCAAGCTACAGCCTTGCCACATAAAATATTTACCAACTTGGCTTCCAGTTTCCACAACTCTCCCCTTCTCCTACAGCTCAACTGGCTCAAACTCCTTTGCTATCTCCCTCCTCTCTCTCTCCCCCTTTCCATCCATCCATCCATCCATCCATCCATCCACCCACCCACCCCACCCATTTATTCTGTTTTGTGTGTGTGTGTTTTGTTTTGAGACAGGCTTCACCTGGCCTGGAACTCGCTAAGACCAGGCTTGCTTTGATCTCGAAAGAGATCTGCCTGTGCCTCCAGAGCACTGGGATTAAAGGCATGCATCACTACATCTATCTTCTTTTTTTTTTTCCTCCCTGAGATAAGGCCATGCAGTTATGCATAGCCCAGGCTGGCCTGGAACTCATGGCAACCTTCCTGTCTCAGAGTCTCAAATGCTGAGATTATTATGTGTTGACATCATGCATGGCTTATTTTCTACATACACTTTATCTTGGTAATTTCATACACTCTCCCCACTTAAAATGTCTACAACATGATGACTGTAAAATTTAAATCTCTAGTCTAGCCTTCTCTTAGAAATATAAATTTATAGCCAGGCATGGTGGCACAAGCCTTTAATCCCAGCACTCAGAAGGCAGAGGCAAGGATCTCTGTAAATACAAGGCCAGCCTCGGGTACTTATACTTACCGAGTTCCAGTCTCAAGACCAAAAAACAAATACCGAAATAGTACCACGCCTCTGCTTCAAAACTTTTCGATGGTGCCTTACCCATTTCACTAAAAATAAAAAATGCAGTTTAGGAAGCTCTACATGCTACGTTGTCGACTACAGCACCATCTCTGACTTCACTGCTTGCGTTCCCCTTCTCTTTCCCCATTCAGAGTTCCATGCTATTCCTAGAATGCATGGAATACTCTCATAGGCTAGCCAATGCAACGACTGTTCCCTCTGCTTGCAGAACTCTTTCCCCATAAAACTCCAAACATAATCCCAGTTCCTGTGCATCAACAGAATGTTCCATAGCGTCAACTCAAAATCCCAAACCACGTATGGAGAGACACACCTGTGGTCCTGATACAACAGATACCTACGACAATAGGAACTATTTTACTGAAACTGCAGTCTAGCTTATCCTTTTCTTCCAATTCCTCTCAGCCATTACTGGTAATATATGTAACACACATCACCTGCCGGCTCGCCGGCTCCCTCCTTCCTCTATTAGAATGTAGGGACCACTAGGGCCTACTTATTTTGTTCACTGACATTTCCTAATTTATAGACTAGTACCTTGAACAGGTAGGCGCTGAATAATTACCGAATATATTTTTAATAAGAGTCCGTGCAAAGAGAATCTTTTGACAACAGAAATGAACTTGTGATAATTTCATCAAATTCTTCATCAAATAAATCACCACTAGCATTCTGGCTAACATTCCCTTATTCATATATTTGTACCCCCAATTCTACACTCATTCAAAAGAACAGCCAACGAATCTAACGTTGTGCTGCTAGATGGTAGGGCTCTATTCCCCATACGCAGTCTTTAGCATGCCCTTGAACAATGTTGCTAGTCCAGTAAAGCAAGATAAAAGTACTCAACACCACATACACTACCAAACAGAACTTCAGAAACAGTTCAGAAAATTTCCTCTGCTTAAAATACTCAATTTCAAACCACGCAATTCTGGCACTGAAGTGAAGTAGGATTCTGTCCCCCACCCCCAACTTATAACCTAGGTAATGTCTGTAAGTAAGGCAGTGCACACTGTAAGCCTGGCATAGTGTTTTCTAATGACATAAATACTATGGGAGACCTCATAGACCAAGTAACTGTCTTCAACTGTTTAGCCCACATTAATTCCAAAAATCAGAAAAATTAGGATCCACGGGATTTTAGGTGGGAAAAAGACCCTGGAAAGTGGTACAGTGTGCCTTGTTCCGACGCAAAGATCAGGATCTCCGATAACAAAGTCTGGCCAGTCCCAAGGTTTCTCAAACTTTCTAGACAAACCACCACCAACCTGCAACTCTCGTGAGTAAGAACAGAAGTATTTCATCGCAACAACTGCAATTTCCAACAAGCGAGGCACCCTTCGCACTGCTGTGGGGTTGTACACCTAACCTCGAAGAGACACGTCTCCAAACCAAGAGACCCTACCCTACCCCCCCCCCCCCCGGGCTGCAAGGGCTGCTAAGCTGTTGGCGATTTGCATGAAAGCAAGCCTTCCGGCGACCGCCACAGCGGAGTTACCTAGGAAGCACAAGATGTCAGCCTCCACACGGCCCGACAGCGCCTTCCGAAGGAAGAAACTACTTATCGAAAGGTACAAGCTATCTCTGAGGCTGCACAGCACTCGGGACAGTGCACTGTCACACCTGGGCGAGCACGGCGAGGGGCCGGGGGCCGGGACGAGAACAGAACCGGAACAGGGACTGGGACGAGGACGGGGACCGGGACGGTGTCGGGGAACGAGCACCAGGACGCGCCGGCCGGCCTTACCTCAGCGGTACGCTCCGGCGGCTTCTTCCTCAGCGCCTGCCGAGCGCCGGGATCCACCGGCGATTCCATGGCCGCCCCGCCGGCGCCTACAGCCCATCCGCCCCCCGGGGCGTGCGCCCTCCCCACGGGGAGGGAACTCGGAACTGGCGCAGGGTCCGACCTCGGGAAAACAAGCCTTCGCAACGCCCGCCCCGGGCCTCAGCCCACGCGCGACTGGCTAGGACGGCGCCTGCGCGGGGTCGGGAAAGGCGGAGTGCGCACGCGTAGCACACGCTCGCTAACGCCCGCCGGGCCGTGACGTGGGGGGCGGGGGCGAGGCGGGCGTCGCGAGATCTCGCCCGAGTCCGTCACCGGGTGGTGGCATCTACCTCGGTGCCTTCGGCGGGGGCCGGAAACGCTCTAGCCTGTGGGGAAGGCGTTTGGGGTGCACGGTCTAGTACGCAGACCGGAAGTCGCCCCGCTCTCGGAGGACGCGCGGAAGTCCCCGCTATTCTGCCGGCGAGGAGTCCTGCGCTGCAGGGCTCCGCACCAGGCCTATCGCCGACAGTGCTCAGAGTTTAGTGTTTCTCTGCATGGTACTCGGTATTTTGACAAAGCCAAACCACAAAATCTCTAGTGAAAGCTGCCCACAAAGAAAAAACATGCTGTGGAGACGGCGTCTGGAGGGCTAGGGATGTAGCTCGGAGGGCAGAGCAGCCCAGCAAGCGCAAAGCTGTGGCTGTAGGTTCGATCCCCGGCTTCGCCTAAGCCCGATTGGATTTACGCCTCAGGAGGTAGGAGGGTCGTAAGTTCCAGGTCATCCTTGGCTACATAGCAAGTAGATCACCTTGGGATAAGGCTGTCTTTAAAAGTTTTCAAAGTCGTGGCGCACGACTCCTAGTCCCGGCATTCGGGAGGCAGAGGCAGGCTGATCTCCCTATCCAGGCCAGCCTGGTCTACATAGTGATTCCAGGGCAGCTGGGGCTACGGGGAGACCCTGTCTCGAAAAGACCAAAACCGAAACAGTTTTCAGAGAAAGCGAAGCTCTGACACTTGAGGATCATCAGAGGTGGGGCTTGCAGCCAACTCGTGAACTGCATGGCTGGGCTGCTGTCATCCCCAGAGCACTCCACCCAGCCCTCCCTCAGATGGGGTGAAGACTGCCTTAAGGAATGGGTGCTTTTGCCTAGTTTTACATTCCAGGCCATTTTCTGACAGTAAAATTGGTTTCAGCTTATTTACAGGTCATTTGGTAAAAGGCAAGTCATTATTTTCCCCGTTGTGATAAATACCCTGATAAAAACAAATTTTCGAGAGGATTTATTTTGGCCCACAGTTTAAGGGTACAGCCCATCATAATGGGGAAGTTGTGGTGGGAGGAGCATGAGGTGGCTGGTCCCATTTCCCCAGGAAGCAGAGGGCTGTGTATGCTCTCCTTCAGCTGGCCACCTTTTTATTCCGCAGCCCACGGAATGATGCCACCCATGTTGAGTGGATTTTTCCTGCCTCAGTGATCACCATCACAGGCTGTTTGGGCAGTAAAGATCCCTGACAATTCCAGAATCCGTCTTTTTGAGATGTCACACCGCTGCTCACTCAGCACCACCTTTTGGGCTGTCTGTCCTACAGAGCATTTTAAATCTTGAGGGCTACGACCACATCTGTGTACCTCAGAATTTTTCATAGTAGTTAGCGTGTTTTTCAAACGATTCACAGTAACTTTGATGACATGGTAAGCATCTATGTTTTAGAGTAGTAGAGGGAAAAGGAGACTTCGGGCTGTGACATTTCAGAGTAATGAAGGCACTTTTTCCCATTGGTTGGTGGGGCTTGCCAAAACTTGGACGTTTACAACATATTATTAGCACATCTCTTTTTTGGAGGTTTTGGCAAATGCCTTACAGACATTATGGCTATGCCACAACAGAAAGTACAGTATCTGAAAAAGTCACACGATGTTGCAGGAGATCTGTATTTTCTGTATGTAAACCAGATCTGAAAGGTCTGTCCCAAATCACATTTATCATTTGCATCCCCCCCTCAAAGTAATTCCCAGTATATCCTTAATATTTCAGTATCTTAGTATTTTGAAAGAGGGAACAAGATAAGAGCTTGATCATCATAAACTTGAACTTTGAAGGCCAACAGACCTGAATTTAACTTCTACTTAGGAAAGGAAGTTTTGTTTCCCAGGAGCCTCTCACAAGCACTCTTATTGACATGAACGGGCCCTGAAGCTACTTAGTGTACCTTTGAACTTCAGATCACACATTTATAAAATGACAACAGTAAAAAGGATCTGTGGCTTTAGGATCCTCAAGGTTATGAGGCAGACCATATGAGCTGTTCAGTATACTGCCAGCACAATACAAATATTATTGCTGTGACTTCCGGGCAATGACTGCTCTAAAAATACAAATTCAAGTTTGAATAACCTAATAGCTTTGTTATTAAAATTAAGACATAATAAAATCTGATGGTTCGTTTCAAAATAAAAGTATCTTGAGTCCCCATAGGTCAATTTACCCATAAAGACACTGGTCCCTGTGGGCCATCTGCTAAATGACCTACACACAAACTTTGGCAGTCTAGCTACACTACCCACCCACCCAACTAACTTTAGAGCTGAAAACTGCCAGCAGCAGAGCTTGCCTAATGACTTACAGGCATGACAGGGTCATATGCCTGATAAACTAAACAGAATGTAAAATGGAGGTCTTTGTTGAAAACTAGACAAACGTAAGTAGGCAGAGGGAAATATAAGGCCAAGTTAGTATAAGAGTATACCCTCCCGATAACCAATGAGGAAAGGAAGGAAGGGATCTGCATTCAGGGTTATGAAAACTGGTCTCTCTACCCAATAAGTAAACCTGCCATTCTGGGATGACCCAACTTTATAAGGTCATAAAGTAAACCGTCACTTTTGCTAATGAGTCTCCAGTGCTCTTATTACAGTGTTTTTTATACAAACACCTCTGTGAAGATGTGAAGCCTGAGAAATTCTAAAAAAAAAAAAAAAAAAAAAGCAGGACTGCAAATGGAAAAGCATTTTGCAAAGACTGCATCTCATAAGGCTGAAAACATTTCATGCTAGCAAGTCTACTCCTTGTACACCAGGAAAAAAGGACCAAAGCCCAAAATCCAAGTACCCATCAGAAACAGTGTATGCCTTGTGTATTCATGTAGTGGAGTACCAGCTACACAGCACACGAATGGCTCATCAATCGAATGCTGAAAGGCAGCTAGATGGCTCAGCCAGCAAAAGTGCTTGCCACCAGCCTGACAACCTGAATTTGATCTCCACACGATGGAAGAACACAGACCCCTGCAAGATGTCCTCTGACCTCCACAGAAGCACTATGGCTCAATCACTACACTCCCACAACCCTGCCCCACCAAATAATTGTAAAAATATGTATATGTTTTTAAAGAAAAATATCGGGGCTAGAGAGTTGACTCAGCAGTTAAGAGCACTAGATCCTCTTCCAGGGGCTGGATAGATGGCTCAATGGTTAAGAGCACTGGCTGCTCTTGGAGATGACCCAGGTTCAGTTCCCAGCACCCACATGGCAGCTAACAACCGACTGTAACTCCAGTTCCAGGGGATCTGATAGCCTCTTCTGACCTCCCACGACATGGGAGCACTTACATGCAGGTGATACTCATACACATAAAAAATAAAAATATTAAATATTTAAAAAGAACACTTCCAGAGGACCTGGGCTCTGTTCCTGGCACTCACGTGGTGGCTAACCCCCATCCACTCCAGTTCCAGGGGATCCCATACCCTTCTGGTGTCTGTGGGCAATGCATGACATGGGTGTGCTTACATACATGCAGGCAAAACATACACATTAAAAAAAATTTTTAAAAGAAAACATTGAAAAAGAGCAATGAACCTGGAAGATTATACTCTGAATTCAAACTATAAGCAAAACCAATTAGGGATGTGTTTGCAAAGGCAAAAATATACTCATAAAAAGGCACACTGAGGGGCTGGAGAGATTGCTCGGTGGTCAAGAACACTGGTTGTTCTTGCAGAAGACCTGGGTTTGAATCCCACCACCCACATGGCAGCTAACACCTGTCCGTAACTCCAGTTCCAGGGGATCCGATGGCCTCTTCTGACCTCCGCAGGCATTGCACAACATGGGTGCACTTACCTACATGCAGGCAATACATTCATATACATTAAATGAGAATTTTTTTTTTTAAAAAGGCACACTGATAATAAGGGGACTGAAGGTGTAACTCAGCAACTGGGTTTAATTCCCAGAACCCACCAAAAAAATAGGATGGAGAGGAGGGAGGGAAGACGATTTTCAGGACAGGACACATGAAGGAGAGGCTTCCAGACTGTTGGGAGATGATCTACTTCTTGACCTGGATAATGGTTACATGTGTGTTTTAATGTACTTTTCTGTATATTTCATAAGAGGAAAGTAGTTCAAATATAAAACAATAGTAAAGATATTAGCATTCCCAGCAACTATCTGATATTCACCAAGTATGTCTTGTGTTGAAAGCACTGATGATGAGGTGATAGGGACTTTAATAGGTGGAACCTAATGAGAGGTACTTAAGTTATCAGAGGCACTACCCTCGGAAGGGATCAACGTAACTCTTGTGAAATGCCAGTTAATCCCTGAAATAGCGGTAGTTAAGAGCAAGATCCAAGCAAGGCCTAGCGGCACAGGGCTATATAATTACAGCTATTTGGGAGGTTGAGGCAGGAGGATCCTAAGTTTAAAGGCTACCTTGGCTACAGAGTGAATTCAGAGCCAGCCTGAGCAACTTGGTAAAGCCTTGTGTCAAAATGAAAAAGAGTTTGGCGATATAGTTCAGTGGTAGAAAAACCTGACATATACCAGAGTCTGGTTTCAATCCCCAATACCCAAAACACAATGAAAGCAAGATCTAACCCTTCCCCCACTTCCATCTCTTCATGTGATCTTTCCTTCTTGGGGCTGTTCCCACTACGATGCCTCCTGATATGCAATGCAGCCAAGGAGGAGCCCTGGCTGGCTAGAACTGGTCCCATGCAGTTTGTATCACCAGCCTCGAAAAACTGACCGAAACAAATGTATTATCTAGCATCAGATTTTGTTACAGCAACTGAACAGAAACTAATGAATTGTTGCTTTTTAAATGTAGGCTCATTTTAAACTGATCATGTTCTTTACCATGTTCTATTATGTTGTCCAATCAAAGTTCTAAAAGCTCTCTTCAGAGAAAAGGCAACCATAGTCATGTGTGTGTGCGCGCGCACGCACACGCACACGCACACACACACACTAAAAATAAGTTTTAAATAGCTAGCTAGATGTTTCAAGCATACAACCACATTTGAGAACTGCTCTAACTCAGATTTTGGCCTACTTCAGATCATTTGACTCCAGTTCCTCTACCACATTGAAGGACCTCTAATTCTAAGTGCTGAACCAAATCTTATCAAGAGTGCTTTTTTTTCTTTTGAGGGAATAGCATTTTCCTTATGTTTTTACATTTCTTTAGTTTGGTCTCCTTGAGACAATTTTTAGGAAGGCAGATGTCTTTTTTTTTTTTTTTTTTTTTTTTTTTTTTTTTTTTGTCTTTTTGAGACAGGGTCTCCCTGTAGCCCCAGCTGTGCTGGAACTCACTATGTAGACCAGGCTGGCCTTGAACTCACAGAGATCCGCCTGCCTCTGCCTCCCGAGTGCTGGGATTAGAGGTGTGTGTCAGCACGGCTGGCCAGAAGGCAGATGTCTTTATCTGCCTCAGTGACTGAGCCCTCAGTGAACAGAGCCATGTTCTTGGATTGTCCCTATGAAGACACTCACTTGGAAGGCTCAGGCCTCTTCAATTTAATACTCTGCTTTAAAATACAGATTTATAGGCTTGAGAGATGGCTCAGCAGTTAAGAACACTGGTTGTTCTTGCAGAGGACCCAGGTTCAAATCCCAGCATCCACATGGCAGCTGGCAACTGTCCGTAACTCCAGTCCCAACTGATCCGACAGCCTCTTCTGACCTCCACGGGCATTACACGACACAGGTGCACTTACCTACATGTAGGCAATACACGCATACACATAAAATAATAAAAAAATTTAAATAAAATACAGATTTATTTTCAAGAGGTCAGAAAGAAATTGTCTTCAAACTGATGAAGAGAGCCACGTAGGTTCATAAATTTCACCATAAGGAAAGTCTCTTTTAAAAGAATAGTTTTTGTTTTCTGGGAAAGAGGCATTTTGACTCATGCTTTTAGGGCATGCTTCAAAAAAATTTCCCACCAAAGCTCTTGTAACAAATAGTGGGTGAGAATTTCACATATTCCTTAAATATCTGTTTTTGACTGCTTGTATTTTCTTCTTTTTAAGGGATTTCTCCATTTTATACTGATAGCAAAGGTGGCCCAGCCCACTTCCCATGACCACCAAGCCACAAGGACTAAACTGCTCACTCTCTCTGCCCAAGTCCTTTCCACAGGGAGCTAGTTCCTCAGTCCTCATTCACCTTCAGCTAGATGGGTCTGACTTGACACCTCCCGTCTCCATTCCACAGTGGCAAAGACAAAGGAATCTTGGATCTCTTTGCCATCTATCACCCCAGCCTAGTCCTGCCTCTAGGTAGAACTCATCTCAATCACCCTAACTTAAGTCCAGTAGCTTTCCAATAAACCTAGTCCGGTATGAATTACTGATGCAGAGCAGGTGTCAAGGATACATGAAAGCTGAACTCCCTACAATGCACAGGGGAGGACAGATTAGCTCAGAGTCACATGCAAATCTGTGAGCAAAGCACTGCTCAAACCCAAACCAGTCACCCTTTTTGTTAGTTGTTGTTTAACAGTAAAATCAAGGGTTATTTACTTTTGAAACAATGTATTCACTATCTTTACATGGCTTCTTCTAAGTTTTGGGTTGGCTGAGTTCAGCTTATACTTAAAAAATTTGAATTTGGGCTGGGTGTGGCAGCACAAACCTTTAAGTCCCATCACTCAGGAGACAAGAGGAAGGCAGATCTCTGTGAGATTGAGAACAGCCTGGTCTACAAAAAGAATTCCAGGCCTTCTGGGGCTATAGGGAAACTCTTTCTGAAAAAAACTGGGAAAAAAAATTCAGTTTGTCACTATGAAGACCAGAGTCAGGTATATAAATATACCAGTGTATTTGGGGTACTGTATCTTACTATTTTTTAATATTTTACTTACTATTTTTATTTTGTGTGTATGAGTGTATTGCCTGCATGTATGTAGATGCACCCATGTCATGCAATGCCCACGGAGGTCAAAAAGGGCATCAGATCCCCTGTAACTGGAGTTACAATTGGTTGTTAGCTGTCATGTGGTACTGGGGATGAATCCAAGTCCTCTGCAAGAGCAGCAAGTGCTCTTAACCATTGAGCCATCTCTCCAGCCCTATATTTTATATTTATTTACTTTTTTTTTGTTTCCCTGTAGCCCCAGATGGCCTGGAACTCACTATGTAGACTATGTAGACCTGCCTCTGCCTCCCTGAGTGCTGGGATAAAAGGCGTGTGCTACCATGCCTGGCTACATTTTAAGTTTAAGAACAGACATTAAAAAATCCCTGAGCTTTATGTAGGAAGGAGTTACATTACTGGGTAATAGTAGCAGCTGAAAAGTTAACTGAGCCTTCAAATTGAGCTAAATTTTTGAGCACTGTTATGTTATTTGACTCTCACAGTCTCATGAAATATTAATAGATTATACCAATATAGAAAGGTCATATACTCAAAAGTGTCAAAACTATGACATATATTCAGGTAGACATCACCATCCAAAATATCACACATACCTTACTAACATATGAAAGAAACACCAACATTACCCATCAAATTGACATGTGTGTTTATTGCACAAATTTCCCCTATAATTGGGAGGTTATTATAATACAGGTGTACACTTGAGAAATGTATTCAGAACAAGAAACAAATCTGTACAATTTATATATCCACCATCTAAATAACTTAAGAGAAAGCAGAACATTCTCATGACAACTACCAGAAGTAGGCATTATATAAATTGTTTTAAGTAATCATCTGAAGTGTATGCCAATTGCAAGAAAATGAAATCTGTACTAGTATGTTTATTGCACTTAATATTTTCAAACTCAAAATTAAGACATATTAATAAATGCCATGATACTTAAAATCAAACCAATTAGTTTACATGTACAGAAAACTTAGTTTTAAATCTATAAAATCCCTTTTTAAATTTTCTATTGCAACCAACAGGTGTTTGTAATATGTAGCACATATCTGTCTGTACCATTAAGTACTTAAAAATTATTATTATTATTTTTTGGTCTTTTTGAGACAGGGTCTCCCTGTAGCCCCAGCTGTCCTGGAACTCACTATGTAGACCAGGCTAGCCTTGAACTCACAGAGATCCGCCTGCCTCTGCCTCCGAGTGCTGGGATTAAAGGCGTGTGCCATCACGCCTGGCTCAAAAAATTACTTTAAACAAGCCAAAACTCTTTTCACATTCATCACAACCAAGCTTTAAAGAAGCTCACTCCTTGGGCTTTGTGTAAAGAAAGAACAATGATGATTAATAAAGGCAGTACAAATTATACAAGGATTGGAATTACAGAACTCAGGAATCCTGTAAGGATTAACAATTCTTTAAGAAATGATAGCCTTTTATATCCAGCAAAGCTTAGTTTTAAGAGTAACAGCATGAGTCATTCACTTACTAAAGACTAGAACTACTAAACAGTAATGAGAGATTTCATATAGACAGAACTAACCGTAGTCTGATGATTAACACCCAGAAACAGACACTATCTACCTGCTACATATTATTCCGAGCCACAATCAAAAAATAATGTACAATGGCTCAAAGAGGAACAGAAATCTACTCACTGAACTCCAACAATACACAACAGAATCACTCACTAATGAATGGAATAATACAAGTGAGCCAAAGAAAGCATATTCAGAAACACTCTTTGGCAGCAAGTCATCCATGGGAGACTTAGGAACTACTGTGATCAGCTAATAGAACACGGGCCCAACTGCAGGCACCTTAGCTTTTGGGTTTGCATTCCATTAAAACAATTGCTTCTTCTTTGTCTAGCTGGAATTCTCTTGAACAAAGAGCAAGGCAAAAATATGATCCAACACAATAAACTCAAGGTTCTGAAGACTATAAACCACAGAAAATTTTCATTAATCATTGAAAAATTTAAATAGCACGTATGTATGTGTTATATAGTAAAGGTATTCAGTAACTAAATAGGCAAGTCTTTTTCTTTCTAAGAATAGTCAATGAATGCAAAAACCAGCTCTAATTCTGGCATTATCTGTATCTTAGACTACACAAGCAAAGAATAAGCTACAATTCAGTATTCAAGTAGACTGAGGTAGTGGAGCATTCTGAAAACATCATCTACTCACCTTTTTATTTACATAATATACAGGAGTTTGGTTCTTTATTAGTCTTTCTCATAAGCAACATTCTACACTATATACAAAGACGGTAACAACTGAAAAGTAGAAATCTTTGAAAAAAAATCAGCATTTAGAAGAAAGGAACGCTAAGAGAAAAGAGAATGTTTTTAAAATTTATTACTTCTATCAGTGTAAATGTGAAACAATATTTTGCTCATCTGGGTTGAGGACTGAAGCTACCTGAGCATATTTAAAGAAAACAGTATTATTTTTGCCAATGCTTTGGTTCATTTTTTTAATCCTAATTTTTATTTATTAAATTAGTATGTAAATATCAGTAAGAACTAGCTCATACTTAGAAAACAAATGGTAAGGCGCTCCAGTGGCATAATCATTTAGCGTGTGGTACGTATACAAAACAAATGATACAAAGTAGTATTCTTTTTTAGGGAATCTACATTCTTTAGCCTTTAAAAAGTTTGGCTTTAAGTATATTTTAGAGTGTGTGAAACAGAAAAAAATCACCAGAAGGTGATTTCAACATTACATACAGTATTAGATGAAAATATTTTTTAAAAATGCATGTTTATCAATATTGTATTTCTACCCCTGCTTTTTCAAAAAATAGATACATATGTACACGTGGATGGATAACATAGCACATTTTCACTAATCTAGTTTCTTGTAATTAACAGGTTGTTTGAAATACTTAGAAATAACCAAAAATTTGTTAATTTGAATTACAAAACAACAAATTAAGGTCTTGTAGATTTGTGTACCTTAGAAATAAAGGCTTAAAAAATTAACGAAAAGAGTATTTCTGAGTTGTCTGATGAGTTTGTAACAACATTGTAGTGATTACATGAAATTCCTAGATATTCATGTCATAGAAATTTCTAAATTACACTTTAATTACACTTTGGCTTTTTCAAATGCTTCCCCCAAAATTATTTATGCTGCTTTAGGTTCACTGGTTGAAAATCTACTGCTACCCAGAGATCCAGTTAAAAAGAAAAAGCTCGTAGTCCACACAGACTCTGCAATGCAACACGGTATCCTGGAGAGGACTCAGTCACATAGATGCCTAGGCAGGAAAAATAAAAACAAACACAAAACAGAACAAGAGCAACAAAAAACCCCCATAAGTACATGTTATGCCTGCTTTGTTGATTTCTGTTTAACTTTCCACCAGAGTTACTTCTTCCATGCTAAAGGAGTATCTGAGCGACATATGGAGAATGAGTGCTTGCTACAGCCGCCAGAAGTGGAAGGTCACTCGATTCAATCCTGAAATGAGAAAAGAAAACTCAGTTCAGGTTTTCTGTATCCTACAGGCAATGGCCACTACCTAGAATGTCAGTTCATCTCAGCATTAAAGGCTCACCCTAGCCAAAGAAAAAGGATAAGACATTAGAACTAACAAATGTTAGGAAATTTTTACTAACAGAAGAACCACAGATTTCAAGGAAAGGAAGGCTAAACACAAAGGCGACCTCTGCCTTCCAAGTGCTGGTATTAAAAGTGTGTGCCACCATGGCCATCAATGGAAGCTTTTTATTTTTTTATTTTATTTTATGTGTATGCGTGTATTGCCTGCAGGTAAGTAAGTGCACCTGTGTTGTGCCATTGCCCGTGGAGGACAGAAGAGGCCATCGGATCCCCTGGAACTGGAATTATGGACGGTTAGCTGCCATGTGGGTGCTGGGATTCGAACCCAGGTCTTCTGCTAGAATAGTCAGTGTTCTTAACTGCTGAGCCATCTCTCCAGCCTGGAAACTTCTTATAAATACATCCTACCACAAATTGTTTAAAGCTGGGCATGGTGGTAGACACCTGTAATCCTAGCACTGGAGAGACTGAGGTAGCAGAATTTGGGGTTAAGCTGAAATACAGAGTGAAACTCTATCTCAAAATAAAAAAAAAATATTTAAGAAGCAAGTCAGGCATGGTGGTGCACATCTTTAATCCCAGCTACATAGTGAGACCCTATCTCAAAAAACAAAATAATACAAAACCCTCAACTATTTTTAGAAAAAGAAGAATGACTAATAAACATAGAAAAAGTTACTCAGACTTAACTCATGGTTAAAGGAATTTGAAAAAAAAAACATGCTAATTTCATTTCACTGCTTGACAAATATTTTAAAAGTCTGCTACTAGTTTGATAATAGATTGTAGCTTCCTGCTCCTTATGGGAATTCATACTGGTACTTTCCAGATAGTATTCAGTACTGTAAATGTATATATAACTGCAAAAGATTTATATATATATATATACAGCAGAAAGATTTACAGTGTAAAATAGAATGCTATACAGCAATTAAAATGTGGTATCAGTATGTATGTATCTATATATATATTCAATATATATTAAAAGGCCAATTGCACATTGACAGAGTCTAAACCAATTCTAATTTTATACATTTTAAAATTTATAACAATAAACAAAGTTAACAATATTTATGTTGAGGTTGGAAGTTGGCTTTGGAAAAGATGATGACAATTTATTTCCTAGCACCATGAACTTTGGCTTTATGTACATTATTTTAAAAGCTAGTTTACTTCTTAAAGGACACAGCCATTAAAAATAAATGTGTGTGGTATGGTGGCGCATGCCTTTAATCCTAGTACTTGGGAGGCAGAGGCAGGTGGATCTCTGTGAGTTCAAGGCCAGCCTAGTCTCTGTAATGAATCCAGGCCAGCTGTGACTACAGGGAGACCCTATCTCAAAAAGATAAAAAAAATCTGCCTAAATACCCACACATTCTCATTCACCCTCCCCTCTAAAAAGAAGATTCTATTCTGTTTCTGATTAGAGAACCATTCTCTAAAGTCTCAGTGGGATTCAAAGAGCCTCAGGGATAGGAGTCATTCAAAGCCCTGTTCGGTCCTAGTAATGTGTGACAAACTGGCAGGTCAATTTAAGAATTGTCCCCATTTCCAATCTGGAATTGCCTACATACCACAGGATGACAAAAAGAATTCAGCAGGTGGACTGGTATGAAACTCAGGGGCAGAGCATGTACTTAGCATGTGCAAAACTACAGGGTGAATTGCCAGAATGGGTGAGAAAAGGGGGGGGTGAAGGTTTACACTAAAAAAAACTTTATGGGGCTGGGCGTGGTGACGCATGCCTTTAATCCCAGCACTCGGGAGGCAGAGGCAGGTAGATCTCTAAATTCAAGGCCAGCCTGGTCTACATAGTGAGTTCCAGGACAGGTGGGGCTACAGGGAGACCGTGTCTCAAAAAGACAAAAAACAAAACAAAACAAAACAAAACAACTTTATGTGTATGAGGAGTGTATTGTCTGTATGTGTGTAAGTGCACCCATGTCATGCAGTGCCTGCGGAGGTCAGAAGAGGGCATCGGATCCCCTCGAACTGGAGTTACATATTGATGGCTGTTATGGGAATGTGGGTGCTGGGAATCAAACCCGGGTCTTCTGCAAGAACAACCAGTGGTTTTAACTCTGAGCCATCTCTCCAGTCCCTATTAAAAAAAAAAAGACTTTTTTTTTTTTTTTTTTTTTGTCTTTTTTGAGACAGGGTCTCCCCAGGTAGCCCCAGGTGTCCTGGAACTTATTATGTAGACCAGGCTGGCCTTGAACTCACAAAGATCCTCCTGTCTCTGCCTCCTAAGTGCTGGGATTAAAGGCGTGTGCCACCCACCACGCCCGGCAAAAAAGACTTTTAACTTGGTTTTTGATACACAGTGGATTCTAAATTATTGTTGCTAACTCCTTTTCTTTTCATAAAAGCCACATTTAGGGGGGGAAAAATCTATCTTGCTTTAATTCCTTCAGTTAGAATTTCAGGAAATCACACACAGACACACAGAAATCATCATAGAATATGGAAAAGCTAGCATTAGCATACATTAAAAACATTAGCATACAATAAAGCAGGCCTCCTCCAACCAACTCCCAGTGTCCTTTTCTTCCTGCAGTTAGCATTTCAGACAGCTGTGATCTTCCTGGGATAACTGCAGACTTGGTTAGTAAAATATGAAGATAACTGTTGAGAAATCATATCATGAAAGAGCTATCATCTGCAAAGTATTGTTACTTCAATCAGCTCATTTAAAAGGCAGGGAAGGTGCTTACAATCATGCACTTCGGACAATATATTTAGTAAGTAAAATATGAGTATTGTTTCTAAAATTTTAAGCTTAATTCACTCTGCCTATTCTCGAAGAAAAGCTATTATATGTATGATACAAGGGGCAATGCCTTTCGCATTAGTAGATGACAGGACATCTGCTTTTGTATGTTAGAGAGAAACCTAAATGGTAAAAATGCCCAGTTTCTAACAGGAAAAGATACCTAACAAACAGGCAATTCTGAAGAACATTCCTTGCATAAAGACAAAGTAAGGAGAAAACAAAGCCAGGAAAGAAACTATGAACATACCCAAGAACCACTCCCAGCTCCTTGACATGAACACGCATCTGTCCCCTCAGGTACTCAGATAACATTTTGCTCTTGAAGTATAATTCCTGTAACCGGTCTTCAAGGTGCATTACACACTACAGTCAGGGAAGAGACAAAACCCAGGTTAGAAAATGGTTCTAGTTCTCTGAGTATTGTAAAATATCTCCTAGAGCCAGGCATGATGGCACATGCCCTTCAGTCCCAGCACTCGGTGGCACACTTTAAAATAATGGTAAAAATCTGGGTGCAGAGGAATGCATCTTTAATCCCAGCACTTGGGGGCAGAGGCAGGTAGATCTCTGTGAGATCAAGGCCAGCCTGGTCTATACAGTGAATTCCAGGCCAGCTGGGGATAAAGGGAGACTCTATCTAAAACAAACAAAACCAAAAACTGATAAAAAGTACAAAAAGCAAGCCAGCAATATGTAGTAATTTATCAAGTATTACATACTGCATATAATTGTATTTCTATATTTTCATAAACAGGCAGTATAAGATTATTATACCAGCATCACTACAAGCACAATAATGCTCTGCTGTATGATCTTTTATAATGATTACATCACTAGGCAAAAGGAATTTTATGGAACCACTAACATAAGTGCGATTCATTCCTGATTAAAGCTTTGTATGTCGTGCATGACTGCATCCAGCTCTTTTTCTAAGACTTGCAAAATATGTTCACACATTCTGTAACGATGCTTTTCACTCTATTAATAGCTGATGAAAGTTTTTTTAAAGTTGAGAAAGGCCTATTTATCTGGGATTTTTTTACTTTTGTTATCTGTGGTTTTGATTTCTTACATATAAGAAATCACTTTGTTACTTCTTTTTTATGCCACAGAAAGTTATTCTCTAAGCTTTCTCTTACAAGAGTTTTACAGTTTTGGCTTAAGTCTTGATCCACTTTGAGTTCATGTCTATATATGGCATAGGGATCAACTTCATTTTTCTTCTCATGTGGCTGTCCTTCACAGACTCTTTTGTTGAAGACTTTTTCCTTGCTAAATGGTCTTGGGACCACTCTTGACACCCATCTTCTACAAGATGCTGGTTCCGGGCTCTATACTCTAGCTCATTTGTCTCAACCCTGGTCTTTAGGTGACCACAGGGCTCTGATTACATGTATGTTTTGAAATCAGGTCTTGTGACTTCTCCAACTTTGTTGCTGTTTTTCATCTTTTTCTTTGAGATAATGTCTCAAGCTCTGTACCCAGATCTTCCTAACTTACCCTCCCAGAGTGAGAGGATTACAGGAATGTCATCATGCCTAGCTGCTTTTCTTTTACAGGACTAATTTTGGCTCTTTGGGATTCCCTGAGATTCCATAAAAATACATTAAGATGAGTTTTTCTATTGTTAAAAAAAGTCATTGGAATTTTGATGGGGATTGTATTCAATTTGTAGATCTTAACGATTCAGTCTTCCAACTGTGATTCAAGACATACCTTTCCCACAGGGATGGGGAAGTCAGTCTTTCTTCTACTGGTGGGAATGGCCTAGGTTATGCTGTGGAACAGGCCATCTGATGTGTGTGATGTAATAGTAGAAAAACATTAGTCCAGTGATGTTTTACAGTGGCTACTACATTTGCACTGAAGCAAAAACAACAAAACACAATGTCTTCAATTCCCAGATATGGGAGTTTCCATTTATTTATATCTTCTTTCAATTTCTTTCAATAATGTTTTCTAGTTTTTAAGTCCTTTGCTGCCTTGATTCCCTAAATAGTCTTTATTTATGCTGTTCTGTGGAAATGCTTTCTCCTCCCTACCCTGTGGAGTCTGTGGGGGTTTTGTTGTCATGTAGTCCAGGCTGGCCTGAACTCAATAGGTAGCTGAAGCTGGCCCTGAATTCTTCATCACCTTGTCAATGCTGTGTACCTCTATGCCTACCTCAGAACTGTTGTTTAAATTTTCTTCTCAGTTTGCTTGTGGCCAGTGTATAGGACATCTTATTTTACATGCTTAGGTACTATAAATCTGTTTAAACTGTAAGTTAATTCTAACAGTTTTTCTTGTGGAATGTGCATTTTTAAAAATTATCAGATCATGTCATATGCAAACAGAAATAATGCTTATATCTTCCTTTCCCATTTCGAAGTATTTTATTTTTATTTAATTATCCTGGCTCATACCATGCAGATTTAAAGTGGTAAAAGTGGGTTTCCGTGTGTTATTAGTGATCTAAAGGGAAAGCTTTCAGCCTGTTACCACTGAATCAGGTGTTTGTCTTACTGATACATACCACTTTTTAACAATGGTATTTTGCCGTTCTCCTACTATGAGAAAGAATGAACACTGAAAGTTGGAGAGGGGTCATTAGTAAGAGGCTATCAGTGTCACAAAGTAGAACCACTCAAAGCCCTGACATAACAGTGCGGGTCCTGGACCCTGGAGGGTTACAGGACCATATTGCAAATGATCAAAAAGTGAGGATGATGAAGTCAGAGAACGAAGACTTGCTGCTGCTGCTTCAGTCTTAGCTCACAGACTGAATGGTTTCAACATTTTCTCACAGTTCTGAAATCGAGAAACAAGAACTGGGTACAAATACTGTTGAATTCTAATGAGGGCGCTGTATGGATGGTGGACAGCTAGCTGCCTTCTAACCTTGCTCTCAGTGTGGAGACAGAACAATCTGTTTCTTCCTCATTAGACCACTGATCCCATCATGTGGGCACACACTCCAGACCTAATCTAACTTTAAGGATCTAATCTTGCAAAAAATCTCAGCTCTAGATATTGTCTCCACGGTTGTTGAAGGCAGCCGTGGGGACATTCAGTCCTTAATACTTTTTTTCAGAGACAGTGATAAATCTAGTAACAATATATAATGTAGAAACTGAGAGTTTACCTATCAGAGTACTCAAAGTAACTCATCTTACATATACTTACAAAGTTTGGAGACAAGTTATGCTTATAAAGCTGAAGAGTGGAATGAAGCAGGTTGGAAACAAGACTAGAAACCAGCACTTCCTTCCCCAGTTTATTATCTGTCACTCGTCTCTGACTGCTGGCCACTTGAACGGTCCATTTATCTGTATCAGCTATGATACAAACAGCTTCTGCTATTGGTTCGTCCAACACTGGATGCTGGAAAGAAAGGAATTCAACCGATGATGAGCAAAGCAAGTAAAGTGAAACAATGAATTAACAAAAGAAGAAAGAAATATATTAAACAGCAGCTATCACTAAAGAATTTTCAACGGAAAACAGAATAATTAACTTAGTAATATGTTGAAATAGTTGATGAAAATTATCACAGATACTTTGCATTAATTAATAAAACTTAATTTATTATTTTTAATTTATGTGTGTACATGTGCTGTGCAGTGCCCTTGGAGGCCAGAAGAGGGCATCAGATACCCTGGAACTGAAGTCACAGATGTATATTAGCCATCATGTGGGTGCTGGGAACCAAAACCTGGGTCCTCTTGCAGAGCCCTCTCTGGGTTAAGAGCCAGTGCTCTTAACTGCCGAGCCATCTTTCCAGTCCCTAATTAATAAAACGTTGTATTCTTAAATCTAGAACTTAACTTTCCTGGTTTAGCTCATTCATTCATTCACAAACATACTATATGCCAGACAGCTAGAAGAAATGTTTAGTTTCAAAGAACTAGATCAGACAGACCTTTTCCTTTTTTCCTTTTTGAGAGAACTTATTCCCACAAACAAGACAATGGTATGATTCTGTGTGAACTACCAGGCATCATTATGCCTCAGCACCATAGGCTACTCCTGGATGACATAAAGCACAGCACCGCCTGTGTGCACTAATTTCCCGCTTTGTCAGGACAGGTATCCAGAGTGTACAGAAAGCATTTAAAAGAGAACAAGTCAGGATGCACCAACAATGCATCAACACATACTGCTAAACAAAAACTAAGTCTCTACGCACACACCTGGTGTGTGTACTACTTTATTATGTTCATTGTGTTTTGAGATCAATATCTGAATGAAAATATAGAAAAGGGACTAAAGTACTCAAAGGAAGTGTCAGTCCTGAGCTTGTGAAGCATTTTGACTTTTCATTCTGTATATCTTCATTTTATTTGAAACTTTTATCACAAGCACAACACTCTCATAATTACAATAGCGAAAAATAGTAATTTTTTTGGGGGGGGGGTCTTTTGAGACAGGGTCTCTTTAGCTTTGGCTGACCTGCAACTTGTTATGTAGACCAGGCTGGCCATGAACTCACAGAGATCCACCTGCCTCTGCCTCCCAAGTGCTAGGATTAAAGGTATGCGCCACATGCCTGGCTTGAAAAATAATATTTCAACTGAAGTAAATGCATTCTTTTCTATTTTTATTTTATGTGTATGAGTGTTTTGTCTGCATATATATAAATGCACCTTTGTCATGCAATGCCCATGGGGGTCTGAAGATGGCATCAGAACCCCTGGAACTGGAGTTACAGGTGGTTGTTAGCCACCATGATGGTGATGAGAACTGAACCTGGGTCCTCTGTGAGAGCAACCACTGCTCTTAATCACTAAGCCATCTCCCCAGCCTATTAAGTGGCTAAATTTTTGAGATATGATACTGAGAAATGGGAAAGAAGAACAGCAAACAAAAAAGTCTGTTAAGAGGTGGCATATTGGTGCACATCCAAAATCCTAAAACAAGAGACTAAGAACTGAAATTTTTAGGCCAATTTGTGCTACACAGCAAGATTCCCTCTCAAAAACAAAAGTCAAATCAAAACAAATCCCCAAACTACCACAACAGGAGCAAACAAGCAACAATACACAAAATTTGCAAGATACACTGTTAAGATTTCTTCTAGAGCCTTAAACTTTTAATCCATATTTTAGAAGAGTACTCAAGTGGAGCTGGAGAGATGTTTCAGCAGTTAAGAGTCATCTTGGCTGCTGTTGTAGAGGACCTGGGTTCAATTTCCAGCACCCACATGGCAGCTAATAACCATTCGTAACTCCAGTTCCAGGGGATCTGACACTCTCTTCTGACCTCTGCATGTACTGCACAGACATGGGTGCACATACATACATGTAGGCAGTACACTCCTACACCTTAAAAAACAAAAAGAGTACTCAACTATTTTTTATTCATCTCTTGTCAAGGACACAACTTTTCTGTTCATTAACTTTACAAATTACCTGATATTATAATTTTAGCAATGGCATATACAACTAAAGACACAGACTGAATCTAATATATTATCGAAAGATAGTAACAAATCTGTATTAAAAAAATATTTTATTATTTTTATTTTATGTGTATGCATGTATTGCCTGAATGTAGGTAAGTGCACCCGTGTCGTCCAATGCTTGTGGAGGACAGAGGAGGCTCTTGGATCCCCTGGAACTGGAGTTACAGACAGTTGTTAGCTGCCATGTGGGTGCTGGGATTTGAAACTGGGTCTTCTGCAAGAACAGCCAGTGTTCTTAACCCCTGGAGCCATCTCTCCAGCCCCCAAATCTGTATTTTAATAAAAGTATCAAAGACAAGTAAAATGTATAATCAAATCATAAAAGTGAAAAAACAAACTATCAAAGGTGTATATACCTGTCCCCTTTAAGATTAGAATTTTAAAAAAGTCCATCAACTATTCCTGTAAACACTGGAGTAACATTGGGAAACTGCCGCAGAATAACTTATTTAAAAGGTATAGACTGGTCGTGGTGGCATGGGCCTTTAATCCCAGTACTTAGGAGGCAGAGGCAGGCAGATCTCTGTGAGACAAAGGCCACCCTGGTCTACATAGTGAGATCCAGGTCAGCTGGGGCTAGAGGAAGACCGTGTCTCACAAACAAACAAACAAACAAACTAGCCACAGGCTGATCTAGAATTCACCTTTCAGCACTGTAATCTACTGTTATGTGGCTAAAACTGAAAAAAAGGTTTAGCAACTTAAAGTCATTTTTTTTTACTTAAAAACTTTAATATTAAAAATATTTTTATTTTTTTGTTTTGCATTATTTCCTTCCCTCCCAGTCTCCCACCAATTCTTCCTGTGTCCCTCTCTCCCTCTCAATTTCTTGTCATCTTCTATGATCAAAAGTTCTGCACACAGAGTCCACTAAGTGGTGCTCATGTGTCCCTGTTTAGAGCTGTCCACTTGGGATTAAAGAACCTCTTGGGGAGCTAGTCTCTGGCAAAAACTGATTTTCCTTCCCTCAGCATTGTCAACAGTTCTTCATCTTGAGGTGGGACCCCATGATATGCCCCGTCCACCTTGCCATGTCAAATGATTTTGTCACTATGCAGAGCCTATCAGAATACCATATTGTGGCGATTTCACTGGTGCAGCTTTCCTATCCTGTCTAGAATGCATTAACTAGGAGCAGGTGTCTTGTCCCTCTGGCTCTTACATTCTTTCTACCCCCTCTTCCACAATGTTTCCAGAACCCTGGGTGGACAGATTGCACTGTAAATGTGTCCTTCAGGGTTGGGGCACCACACAGTCACTTGTTCTCTCCATTTTTCCTGTTACAGAACTTTGTATCAGCCTCCATCTGCAACCCAAAGTCTTGAAATCTATGTTTTTGTAAGGAAAAAACAAAAGGTACCCTTATCTATCGCATAGTTTGCCAAGACAATATGACTTAAATTACAAATTTAAAATTAGAAAATAATTTGAATCAAACACTTCAAAAGCTGTTTATGAAGATGGTGGGGATAGGGGCAGAGAAGTGCCACTCACCTGAAATTCCTTATTTTCATTTAAGAAATTATTGTATGAAATGCCCTAATATATTTTTTGTCTTCTGTGTGGCACTGGAGACTGAAGCCAGGCCTCATGCATCATAAGGACATACTGTTTCACTCAGCTATATTTCCATCAATTCTAACAACAACCAAAAAATGTTTACAAGCTACACCAATTGTGATGATCTGAATGAGAATGTCCCCCATAGGCAAACAAGTATTTGGACATTTTGTCCCCAGTTGGTTATTTTGGGAGGTCTTAGAACATGTGGCCATGCTGGAGGAAGCATATCACTGGGAGCAGGCTCTGAGAGTTCTTAAGCTTTGCCAGATGTCCAGTCACGCTCTTGTTTCCTGTGCCTGCTTGAAGATATGAGAGCTTAGCTTCTGCTCCTCCTCCAGCCACCTCTGCTGCCATGCCTCTCCACCACAGTAGACTCTTGTCCTTAGAACTGTAAGCTCAAATAAACTCTTCCTTCTATAAGTTTCTTAGGTCAGTGTTTCTATCACAGCAACAAAATAGTAACTGATACACCAATAATACAGGGAAATGTTCTAGGTAGCTTTCTATTGCTGTAATAAAACACTCTGAATAAAACCAACTTTGGGAAGATAGGGCTTACTTGGCTTACAAGTCCTGATCACAGTCCATCATTAAGGGAAGCTGGGATAAGCACTCAAGGCAGAAACCTGGAGGCAGGAATTAAAGCAGAGACCAGAGAGGAACGCTGCTCACTGACTTGTTCCCCTGGCCTGTGCTCTGCCTGCTTTCTTATGCAATGCAGGACTCAGGGGTGGCACCACCCAGAGTGGACTGGGTCTTCCCATGTCATTCAACAATTGAGAAAATGTCTCTCATAGTCATGGCCATAAACCAATCTGAGAAGAGAAAATTCCCCAGTTGAGGTTCCCTTTTCCCATATGTGTCAACTGATGCCAGCATGCATGGGAAATAATCTTACATTGGTTGGTAAAAGTCAATTCAAAACAATAAACAAAATCTATGTATGTACATCTAACATATACATTTATAGTCTGCATTTGCTCAGATTGCAGAGTGCATACTCACAGATATACATATATATAAAAGGTCTCATACACAGGTATGTACACAGTTATAGAAACAAATGATATAAAACACAGTGATGCCTAATATGTGAAATAATATATAAACATTATCATTTTCATTATAGTCAAGGAGACAGAGACTTTATCGTTTTAATTATTCTTCCCTAGGATATGCAGGAAATAAATGGCTAAGTCTGAGTTTTAAAAGAAGTCACATGATACCTAAGCTTTCGTCTTTAAAAAAGTTGTTACTGTATAGTAGAATCAGAAAATTTTATATCTGACTTTCTGTATATTTCAACATATTGACTTGGTAATTTTTAAAAATTGCATTTTTGCCAGGTGTGGTGGCC